GGCCTGAAACGTCAGCCTTCCTGCTCCTCTGATGCTGCTTGGCCTGCTGTGTTCATCCAGCTCTACACCTTGTTATCTCAGATTCTCCAGCATCTGCAGTTCCTGCTATCCAAGAAAATATAGTGGCTGTTATTGGGTAGTGTTGATGTTGACACTGGCAGTTGAGCAGTTGATTTCAAGATTCTTGGCTGTGCAGGTTGGCAAAAACTCTGTGCTTCTGATTCCTTTCGACAGTGACCGAATTTTAGTTTTTTATTTTGTTTTATGTGCCAAGGTGTTTAGAAAGGCAGTTCTCCACACTGTGCCCCTCACAGCATTGTAATCTACATACTAGAATGTCCAACCAGCGATACACACAGCCAGGTGTTGCAGTCAGATTCTAACTCATTTGTTTAATATTCCTGGAGCGTAAAACAGACATGTCAGAAAAAGGCATTACCTTCTCTTGTTAAACATCTCCCTGTTTGATGTTTCCATGAGTTTCACATAAAACTTTACCAGTCACAGAATTTGCATACACAGCTTTGCTTGTCCATTGTCCTCTGAAAAAATACATTTTTGAATTAAAAGTAAATAGTGTCAATAATTATTTCAGGGTTCCAATTCATGCGTCGTTCTAACAACAGATATACATGAAATGCAATATTTGGGTACTGGCCAATGATAGACTCTAAAGAGGGAGTGCCGCACTGTCAAGGGGTCAGTGCTGAGGGAATGCTGCACTGTCGGAGGGTCAGTGCTGAGGGAGAGCTGCACTGGCGGAGGGTCAGTGCTGAGGGAGTGCCGCACTGGCGGAGGGTCAGTGCTGAGGGAGTGCCGCACTGTCGGAGGTCAGTGCTGAGGGAGCGCCGCACTGTCGGAGGGTCAGTACTGAGGGAGTGCCGCACTGTCGGAGGGTCAGTGCTCAGGGAGTGCTGCACTGTCGGAGGATCAGTGCTGAGGGAGTGCCGCACTGTCAGAGGGTCAGTACTGAGGGAGTGCCGCACTGTCGGAAGGTCAGTGCTGAGGGAGCGCCGCACTGTAGGAGGGTCAGTGCTGAGGGAGTGCCGCACTGTCGGAGGGTCAGTACTGAGGGAGTGTCGCACTGTCAGAGGGTCAGTGCTGAGGGAGTGCCACACTGTCGGAGGGTCAGTACTGAGGGAGTGCCACACTGTCAGAGGGTCAGTGCTGAGGGAGTGCCGCACCATCAAGGGTCACCTTTCAGTTGAGATATTAAAGTGAAGCCCTGTCTTTCCTGTCAGGTAACCTTGGTGGTTGTGTTTGTGAGGGTGCTATCAGGAGAATGAAATATATCTTTATTCATCATTTCAGGATGACACCAACTGGGTCCGTGAGCAGTGTATGAAGCTTGGAGATGCCTATATCATTGTATATTCGGTGACAGACCGAGCCAGCTTCGAGAAGGCCTCAGAGCTGAGGATCCAGCTGAGGAGGGTGAGACAGGCAGAGGACATTCCCATTATCCTGGTTGGGAACAAAAGTGACTTGGTTCGATCCAGAGAGGTGTCTGTGGAAGGTACGTGGGAGTTACACTTACTGCTTCCAAACCTAGTGTTTGAAATGGCAACAAGGTAGTTCTCAATGTGAAAGAGCTCTGAAGGTGAAGAACCTCAGAGCACGCTCAACAAAGGCTTTTACAAATAAATAATTAGCAGTCTCTCTGTCTTTCTCCATCACTATTTCTCTCTGTTTCTGTATCCCTGAGTGTATCTGTGTCTCTTTCTTTTGTCCATCTCTACTTCGATATGTCTCCCTGTCTTCTCTCTCTGTTTCTCTTTCTCTCTCTCTCTTTCTCTCTACTTCTCACTGTCTACATCCCTGTGAAAGCCATGGTTATGGGGTTATTGATGCTGCTTTTGGATGAGACATTAAGCTGAGATTTTCTGCTTTCTCAGTAGAATATAAAGAATCCACAAGACAATGTTTAGACATTCTCCCCAGAGTCCTGGCCAATGTTTATCCCTCAACCATCATCACTGAAAGCAGATGAACTGGTCAATATCATGCTGCTGTTCCTGGTACTTGGTATTTATTTGTAAATTGTCTGTCATGTCTGCTATAGAACATGGAACAGTACAGCATAGTACAGGCCCTTTGGCCCATAATGTTGTGCCGAACTTTTACCCTAAACTTAAGGTCTATCTAACCTCCACCCCTACCTTATACTATCATCCTTATGCCTATCTAATAGCCGCTTAAATGCCCCTAATGAGGCCGACTCCACTACCCTATCTGGCAATGCATTCCACACCCCGACCACTCTCTGAGTAAAGAACCTACCTCTGACGTCTCCCCTATATCTACCTCCACTCACTTTAAAACTATGTCCCCTCGTAATAGCTACCTCCACCCTAGGAAAAAGTTCCTGGCTGTCCACTCTATCTATACCTTTGATCATTTTGTACACCTCCATCAAGTCACCTCTCAACCTTCGTCATTCTAAAGAGAAAAGCCCTAGCTCTCTCAACCTTTCCTCGTAAGACCTTCTCTGTTACTTTGAAAGTGTTTCATCAGCTGCAAAATGTTCTGGGAGATCTCGGAGGCCTGGGAGGTGCTATATAAATTCAAACACTTGTTTCTTCTCGAAGGGTAACGATGATTCTCTGGTTTCTCCACAGAGGGGAGATCCTGTGCTGTGGTTTTCAACTGCAAGTTCATCGAGACCTCAGCTGCTCTCCAACACAACGTCCGGGATCTCTTTGAGGGTATCATCCGGCAGATCAGGCTGCGGAGGGACAGCAAGGAGGCCAACGAGAGGCGGCTGGCAGATGCCAAGAGGCGGGAGAGCATCGGGCAGAGGGCCAAACGTTTCCTCAGCCGCATTGCGGCCAGGAACAACAAGAAGATGGCCTTCAAACAGAAGTCCAAGTCCTGCCATGATCTCTCCGTCCTCTGAGAGAGATTGACGAAACGCGGGTGTCACTTTGGCTGCTGTGCAACCATTATGAAATGTGTGTGTGTGTGTGTGTCCTTTATGTGGCTGTTGGAAGGTAGAAGTTACTGCTTGGAGAATGCACATTATCTGGAACTATACAAAAGGAATTTGAGATCTCGCTGATGAACACAGTGATGCATTTTTTGCAAGTTGCCTGTGCTGCAGCTGATGGCCTCCTGACTGGCACGGTGAAACTGACAGTGCATCAGCCCCCAAACGTGGATCACATCCTTAGATTGTGGAACCAAGTGACTAACAATCTCTCCACCAAGAAGACAAGAGGCCTCCTGCCTCTCTCACTTCAAACTCTTTTTACCTGCCTTCTGACATACCGTACCGTTTTCGTTCATCAAGCTCCTTCCCAATATCAACAGGCTACCATTCTGACACTGACCGATAGAGAGAGAGCTGATGGAGATGGTTGCGGAAGGACAGCTGAGAGCTTTCGGGAAGAATTGGAACCCCGAGGCTGGGGAGATGGTACAATTGTTATTTTGGAAGGAGGTGATTTCTCGGAAGCTGCCCTTATGATTCCCTTGAAAGAGGGTCTGCCTCAGTACTCTATCTGTTACCACCAGGACTTGGGGTGGTGGCTGGAAAATGTTCTTTAGTCAATTTGTTTGGGCAAATGTCTGTGACAGGGGTGGGGGGGGCGGATCTTGAAGCCAGCCTTACTGGTCTATAGATAGGGACACTGCCACCACCACAGGACCGTCTCCTTTTAAAGGAGAAAGTAGCTGTAATGTTGGCTGCTCTGGGCAATCCATATTCCATTTAATTAATAAGGCTTTCTCTCTGTACATAGGATCAGACAATAATCACTGAATCAGACCTTGAATACAGTGGTGGACTCATGAAGAATTAGTCTTTTGGTGTCTAATACAGCTCTGAGGTTGTGTATAATGGAATCATACATCTCAGGAGAAGGCCATTTATTCCATCATAACTGTGCTAGCTCTTTGAGAAGTTTATCCAATTAATCCCACTCGCATAGTTTTTCCCCGTAGCCCTCAAAGACTCAAGAGAATTGGGAAAGAATTGCTGGTCCAAGTGGATGCAGGTCAATCTGAGCTGCCTGTGTTAAGAAGTTGACAGTCATGCTGTTTGAGGGCTGCAGTTTCAGATTCTGATACAGCCAGGGTAGATTCTCAACGTATTGTCGGTGCTGGTGGTGGATCATTGTAAATCGGTCAACATCAGTAACTCAAGGAATGGGGCAAGGAGAAATTTCACTTTATTTAAAAGAAGCAGTTAAGTCTCATTTCTGATTTATAAAGCAGAGCAATGGTATAAACAGCAGTAAAACTTTGAAAAGCACCAGGAGTTTTATTGGTGAGAGGTTTTTTTTTGAGCTGACTGTTAAACTGAGTGAAAGGGAATGAAAGAATGTTCAGGTGTCTCTGGGGATGTGTGAAGTGAGCAGGCTCATACAGAAACATCATGTGGAGTAGTCAAGCTGTATCACAAGTTCAGGAGCAGCTGCTGTGAAACTAAAATTAAAAAAGCAATAATCCATCATCACTGTGGTTCCATTCTTGTTGCATCAGATTCCTTTGCACTTCTGTTTAATATTATTCAAATCATTTCTTAACTGTTTACATATTGATTTTTGTATTTAAAATAAAATTTATTCAGCCTTGCAACAAGGTGTGCTGATACCTTTCTGCAGTAATGGAACAGTATATATTATAGAAACTATTCACAGCACCCGTATCTCTACTGATATTAACCCAGATCCCTCACACTGTCACTCAGTAACCCCTCTCCCCCAGCGCCCTGTGTTACTGACTGTATCTCTATTGATGATAACCCAGCTCCCTCACACTGCCACTCAGCAAACCCCCACCCCCTTCAGTGCAGTGTATTACTGACTGTATCTCTATTGATGGTAATCCAGCTCCCTCACACTGTCACTCAGTAACCCCACCCGACCCGTGCCCTGTATTACTGACTGTATCCGTACTGATATTAGCCAAGGGTCTAGGCCCGAAACATCAGCCTCTCTGCTCCTATGATGCTGCTTGACCTGCTGTGTTCATCCAGCCCTGCACCTTGTTGTCTCTGATATTAGCCCAGCTCCTTCACACCATCACTCAGTAACCCCTCACCACTCCCCCCAGTGCCCTGTGTTACTGACTGTATCTCTATCGATACTAGCCCAGCTCCCTCACACTGTCACACAGTAACCCCCTCCCCCCCAGCGCCCTGTGTTACTGACTGTATCTCTTCTGATGTTAACTCAGCTCCCTCACACTGTCACTCAGTAACCCCTCTCCCCCAGCGCCTATGTTACTGACTGTATCCCTACTGATGTTAATCCAGCTCCGTCACACTGTCACACAGTAATCCCCTCCCCGCCAAGTGCCCTGTGTTACTGACCGTATCTCTACTGATGTTAATCCAGCTCCGTCACACTGTCACACAGTAACCCCTCTCCCCAAGTGCCCTGTGTTACTGACCGTATCTCTACTGATGTTAATCCAGCTCCGTCACACTGTCACACAGTAACCCCTCTCCCCAAGTGCCCTGTGTTACTGACCGTATCTCTACTAATGTTAATCCAGCTCCGTCACACAGTAATCCTCCCCCACCACCCCGTGACCTGTGCTTTTTATTGTATCTGTACTGATGTTAATTCAACTCCCTCACACTGTAGGAGTTGACGTGGAGGTACTGGTGTCGGACTGGGGTGGACAAGGTCAGAAATCACACGACACCAGGTTATAGTCCAACAGGTTTATTTGAAATCACAAGCTTTTGGAGCATAGCCCTTTCGTCAGCTGTTAGTGAGAGAGGTAGTATCAGACACAGAATTTACAAGTAAAAGATCAAAGGGTCACACAACTGATGAGGATGTATGAAACAAACCTAAGATGCTGTTAAATCTTTAGTTGGTTAGAAGGTTTTACTTGATTAATATGTATATGTAAATCCCTGAATTCCTTTCAAGTCACTGTCCTGAGGGAACTAAAGATTTTATCAGTGTAACTGTAGGAGAGCATAATGATGTGTCTATCATTCCCTTAGCCCCAAAATGTACTTTACTGAAACAATTATTAAAGTACAATACATTGCAATTTAAAGTTTAATGCAATTCTATTTCTTTCATAAACTTGCAGAATATTTCAGCTCAGAACAGGGTGTTTGGCCTGTTGTTACCATGCTGGCTATCCAAATGATCAATTAAGCTTCCCTGTGTTATTCCCATAGGCCTCCACCTTCTTTCCTTACATGTAATGTCCAAATCCCTTTTGAATTTCTCAATTGTCTGAATCATTCTGCCAAAGGGAACAATTTCTCTCTTTCTATTCTACCCAGACTCCTCCTGGTTTTGCACCCCTCTTTTAAATCTCCGCTCAATCCTCTCTTTTCCAGGGAGAATGGGCCTGACTTCTCCTTTGTCAACCTGCAGTGCCACATGCAGTAAACTGTACACATACACTCAGCTGTCTGTCTCAGTCCCAGCATCCACATTACAGTTGTGTCCTTTTTCATATTGACTCTCTGTGTCCTTCCTTCCTCCCAAAATGAATCACTTCACTTTTCTCTGCGTCACATTCCTGCTGCCACTTTTCTGCCCAATTTCACTTACTGAAGTTCTACACTATCCTCCACACAGTTCACAATGCTGCTGCCCATCATCCCCCAACCCTGTCATATCATCCGCAAATTTTGAAATTGTCCCCTGTAAACCCATGTATAGATCATAGATATATATCAGGAAGACACTGGTTCTGAAACTACTCCCTGGGGAACTCCAATTTAAACCTTGCCCCAGACTGAAAAAGGTATCCATTAACTCCTACTCTCTGTTTCCTGTCATGCTGCCAATTTTGTATTCACATTTGTTCTGCTCCTTTTATCATAGAATCCCTACAGTGGAAGCAGGCTATTCAGCCCATGCTGACCCTCCAAAGAGCATCCCACCCAGACCCATCCCCTACTGTATCCCTGCTTTTCCCATGGCCGATCCACCTAACCTGCACATTTTGGAGTGTGGGAGCAAACCCGCACAAACATGGAGAGAATGTGAAAACGGAGGATGGGATCAGTCCCTGGCACTGTGAGGCAGCAGTGCTAACCTCTGAGCCATCATGCTGCCACTGGGCTTGCACTTTGCTCAAAAGTCTGTTGCGTGGAACTGTAACAAATGCCTTTTGGAAACCCACATACATCATACCACAGTGGATCTGGAGCAGAAGGTAGTGATATTGTTATTGATACAGGGACGGTTTGACCTGGGATGACTGCTCCAGGGAGGGTCAGTTCTTTTATGCTTGCATCTTTCCTGACCCACTTGACAAAGAATTTGATACGACACGTCAACAGGGTGAGGGCAGCCTGTGCCTGACACCAGATGTGATTGGGAAATTTTTCTGATTCGCATTTGTAGCAAATTCTCATTTAAAGTTGTGTTCCTGAAAATTCACAATTTTAAGTGAATTGTCTTCAAGTGAAACTTTGTTTCCCATAAGAACCAATGGTAAAATTGATGAATGCTGAAGAAAGACAGATTTTATTGAAGCTTTTTGTCTTGTACACATCAGGACAATGCAAGAAGAAAGCCAGATGCGTGACTAGAGTGTGCTGATTGGGTGGACAATGAAACTGTTGAGGAAAGGTAGAATAGAATATGAATGCAATTCAACAAAAATATATCATTTTATTAAACAAAATAGGATGGTAAAACCTTTTATCAGTACATAAGTAGGAAACGGTTGGCTAAAACAAATGTGGGTGCAATAAAGGCAAAGTCAGAAGAATTTATAATTCTTATAATTATTTTTAATTACATATTTAATTTTATAGTTATAATTATTTGAAAATGTAGGAGTGGGAAAACAGGGAACTATAGCCCTGTTAGTCTTACATCAGCTGTAGGTAAATGCCAGAATTCATTATAAAGGATGGGATGAGTAGACTCCTTGTTGATAATGATCTGCTTGGGTGGAGTCAGCATGGATTTATAAAGGGGAAATCATGTTTGATCTGCTTATTGGAGTTTTTTTGAAGATGTTACAAACAAAATTGATAAAGGAAAGAAAATAGATGAGGTATACTTAGATTGTCAGAGACTTTTGATAAAGTTCCCCTGCAGGAGGCGAGTTAGAAAGATTGAAGCACATGAACAGGAAGGAATGTACTGGCATGGATTACAGATTGGCTAACAGACAGAAACAGAGAGCAGGAATAAATGGGACATTCTCACATTGGAAGGCTGTGACTAGTGGGGTACCGCAAGGACCAGTCCTTGGGCTTATCCCAGCTGTTCACAATATTTATCAATGCTTTGGAGGCAGGGACCAGCTGTTATATTTCTAAATTTGCAGATGATACATGGCTCAGTGGGAATGTACATTGCCAGGAAGATGTAAAGTGGCTTCGGGGGGATTTGGACAGGCTTAGTGGGTGGGAGAAAGCATGGCACCATGGGATATAATGTGAGGTTATCCACTTTGGCCAGAGAAGCAGATGTGCAGAGTATTTCCGAAATAGTGAAAGTGCAGAAGTATAAAGTGAACAAGCAAAAACAGAAATTGCTGGAGAAACTCAATAGGTCAGGCAGCATCTGTGAAGAGAGAAACTGAGTTAACGTTTTGAGTCCGGTATGAATTTTCTTCAGAAGAACGGTCCCTGGACCAGAAACAGTAACTCTGTTTCTCTCTCTACAGGTGCTGCCAGACCTGCTGAGTTTCTCCAGCAATTTCTGATTTTGTTTGTTTCAGATCTCCAGGATCTGGAGTCCTTTGTTTTACTTTTATGTACAAAGGGGTCTGGGTGTCCTTGTCAATTAATGACTGAAGGTTAACATGCAGGTGCAGCAGGCTATTAGAAAAGTTAATGGAATGTTAGCCTTTCTTGCAAGAGGGTTTGAGTACAGGAGGACTGAAGCCTTGTTCCAATTGTATCGGAGTTTGTTTAGACTGTGCCCTCCTATCGAGTGCTGCTTTGGTGTCCTTGTTTCAGGAAGGATATTATTGCCATAGAGGGAGTGCAAAAAAGGTTCACTCAGGATAGAGGGTCTGTCCAAGATGAGATGTTGATAACCCTTTCTGAATTCAACTCTTTTGTCCATGTTTGAACCAAGGCTATAATGAGATCAGGAGCTGAGTGGCCCTGGCAGAACCCAAACTGGGCATCACTGAGCAGGTTATTGGCTGAGCAGGTGCTGCTTGATAGCACTGTTGATGACACTTGTGGTGCCAAGCCATACAAGACTATGGGCCAAGTGCTGGAAATTTGGATTAGAATAATTAAGTGGTTGTTTTTGACCAGCATGGACACGATGGGCTGAAGGGCCTTGTGTTGTAGATCTCTCCGGCTCTACCACCTCGCATCATGTTTCACACGTTCTAGATTAGACTGAAGGGCCAGTAATTGGCTGGGCTAGACTTGTCCTAAATACATTTCTATGGCTCTTTCGTCTGCTTTCTGTGTCTCACACCCTATCTGAAAAGCAATGGGATGTGAAAGAGGTGGCTGCTGGTTTAAGATTGGATCGTGTGAGACAGGAAGTCAATGATTAACACTGAATTCTGAGCAGTTTATAAGAAAGTTTCCTTGCGACAGGGGACTGTCAGGGGAACGGCCGCTTTGACCAGGTAAGAATTTAGCTGTTTTGTGTCTGACTTGACCTTTTCT